AAGGGCAGTGGTGTTTGTCACTATAGGACACGAAAATACACAAGTGCACACTGCTGTTCTCAAGGTGAAGAAAAAGAGAAGTTTATTTTCTGACTCCAACATTTATAGATTTCCAAAAGTGACAGTGGACTGGAGGGTGACAGTGGCACCTCTCCAATGACACTGGTCAAACCAACAGTCCATCAACTTTCTCCTCCTCCATAAAAGAATGCAAAACAATGAGTTATTTACAAAAAGTGTGTGAGAAAGTTCACTGCAAGAATGTCAACATCAGAAGGCTTAGAAAATCTTAAAAAACCAGGGTGACAGGTGTTGGCTTCTGCCTGACCGTGTCATCAGCTGATTAGAAGGAAGGACATGATTCCGACTCCTTCTCAGCCAATGAATAGCACAAATAGGTTGTTGGCGATGATGAGGGTGAGTATAGCGATTAGGAAGAACAGTAGGTAGGTGAAAAATTTTGTAATGTAGGGGTCTGAGGCCATATATCATGTTGGAAATTGTAGGATAGATCATGATACGAATAGTGCAATGGGGAAGAAGGTAAAGGAGTCGAAGTCTATTTTTAGGCTGATGGGGATTTTGAAGTTTATAATGAACTTTCATTCCCAGAAGGAGGTGAGGCTTTCTGTTCCAGAGTGGATGTAGATTGTTATTGGGATTAGTCTGATTAAGAAGGAAGTTTTGACTTCCCAGAGAACCTGGCAGAGTGAACACCTCTGGCTGCCAGTGGCTCTCAGGGAACCGCGTCCCACCCCTAACGCCCGCCCTCGCCCCGCAGTTCATCACGGAGGGCTACGCGGCCCACCTGGCCCAGCTGGAGTACAACCACCGCGCGCGCCCCGCCAAGAACACCACGCGCATGGCGCTGCGCAAGGGCAGCTTCGGGCTGCCCAGCCAGGCCGAGTTCCTGCGCAAGAGGAACCACCTGCTGCGCACCATCTCCTCCCAGCCCGCCAGCGCCGGCGGCCACCGGCCCGAGCGCACCCAGAGCCAGTCGGACAGCGACAAGGACAGGGACAGGGAGCGCAGCCAGCGCAGCATGAGCATCGCCACGGGCTGCTGGGGCCGCAGCGCCGCGTCCCGGCTGGAGTCTGGCCTCCTGGGGCAGAAGTAGCCAGGCCGGAGCCAGGATTGTCAGCTGCAGCCACCGGAGGAGAAATAAAGGGAAAGAGGGACGAGGCCGGTGTTTCGGGCTGGAAGGGTAAATATGGTGCTACTCTAATACCACGGTGTTCTGGGAAGAGACGGGATGTTTCCCACACGGAACGTGCAGGCCTTGCAGCGGGAGCGGGAGCCCGAGGAGCAGCTGGAAATCGGGGGGGAAGTCTTCAGGTCAGGACAGCGCTCTCTCCTGCCTCCTCCTCTCATCCAGGGTCAGTGACTGTAAATAGGTGCCTCCTCGCCTTGTTAGCCATCACACGGTGACCGAGTGCTGTCCTCAGAGCCACAGAACAGGGCACGAGGCTGGGGGAGCTTGTTCTGGGCTGTGCCGGGAGTCAGGTGGGGGCTCTGGGGTTGGGTAGCGCCGCTCCCCCGGCCCCAGCGAGGGATTTGTCGTGGGCTGTGCCAGGCAGAGCCACCGAGAGCTTTCCCTGGACAGAGAGCTCCACGTGCAGCCACTTTCTCGAGGAGCTGGTGCAGTGCAAAGCTGAAGCTGCATCGAGGCCGATGGCAGAGGCAGAATGTCGGCAGATTCGTGCCCAAGACAGCGGGGTCATTATTGTTATTACTGTTATTTTTTAAACAGATCTTTTAGAAGCCGATGGAATTTAATGTGGTGACCTATTAAAAGAGGAATACAAGCTATTTTGTTTGAGCTGTTACAAACCTCAGACACTTAATTGCTGTTAAAGTCTCCAAATAGTCTCGCTATGTATTATTTCCAGCAAGTAACCACCATATATTTGGAAGCAGCTGAAGGCACTCAGCAGCTGGATTGCATTGCAGTTCTTCTCATCCAAATGCAGGGTCTGACTCTCTCAACGTCCACCTCTGAGACCTTTTTTTCTTCCCAGGTTCTCTCCAAGTTCAGTAGCAGCTTTCATGGGAACTAGACTCGCTTCTTTTACCTATAGTTACTGAACTGTAAAACCTCATTGTTTTTTGCACTGATGATTTTTAGAATGGAAACCTGTTACCATCTCATGTAGCTACACCAGTGTTTGTAGTGCATGACAATGAAATATTGCTAAGCCAGGGTGTGTGTGGATATCTATACATATATACACACACACATATATATATGTATATATTTAAAAAAAAACAACAATCTGTGCAGAAGTTTTTCCAGCAGTAAGGAGACTGTAAGGAAGTGTGCCAACAATGTCAGGCAACCTTAAGAAAAGGCCATATCTTAATTTTTCTGGTGTGTTTCTCAGTGGGTGTGCCTGAGGCACTGGGTTTGTGCTGCTGGAGCGAGCTGGTGGGCGTGTGGCAGAGCTGGCACCCCAGTGACACCCAGACAGGGACAGAGAACAGTGCCTGGAGCCAGGGCTTGCCAAAAAGCCCCTCAGTCCTGTCCCTCTTGGGGCCAGCAAAGGTTCCCTCCTTGCACACACCTCCTGGGGCAGAGGGGCATCCACACAGGGGTTCCACATTTACAGACTCCAGCCGGCCTCTTCACGTGGAGATTTTCTAGTCCTACCGAGCTCCCTGACTGTGTGTAACCCTGCTTTCCCCACCACACTCTCCTGTCTTTATATCACTTTCTACTTACGAGGATCTTATTTATACCAGAGAATTTTTTAGACTGGCTGCTTCATTTTCTTACCGGTTTCAATAAGCACGGTGCAGGACGGCCGCACTGAGATACACAGCACTGTGAACGCTGCTCTGCTCGCTGCCTCTGGGCCACGGGGACAAACCCAACTCATCCAACTCCTGTGTTCGTGGTGTGGAGGGTCCAGGCCGAGGCAGAGCAGGGACAGTGCGGAGCTGCCGCCGGCATCAGAGCCCCTGGAGCGCTCAGACCCGACTGCAAAATGTTTCAACCACTTCTCTTTGGTAATTATCCGAGTACAGAATGTACCTGATGACTTTTTGTTACCAGAAACTGACTTCCCTTTCTGCTGACTCAGCTTGGCTCTCTCTGAATGTACATCCAGAGCTTTTACTGGGTTTGGAAACAATGAGAATTTGTCCCAGCTTTTTGCTAGCCGAATGTTCTATCAAACAGATGCCATCTGAGTAGGAAGCCAAGCCACAATCCATCCTGTGAAGTCACCAAACCACATCACTAAATAATTTCTGCAAATTTGGATATGGCCTTTGCAAAATTCACCTTTTCTCCAAGTCCAGAACCGAGACATGACCTGTACATTTTCCAGTTGATGAAATGTTCACATTTTCTTATGTGTAGATAGTGTAAAACAGAGGCGAATGTAAATGTTCAACATAAAAAGTGGATATATAAAATTGAAAGTTATTTATTTATGTAGAGGAAAAAAAAAATGTCTGGAGGGACTGGAACCTTCAGGGTTCATTAATATTTTAAAAATGTAGCTTTTTGTTTCAGGCATTATGTACAAAGCAATTATTTTATGGACCAAGTTTAATGTAACTGTCAATGAATGCAGAAGTGCAATATGATACTCACCCTCTCCATCACTTCATGTTTTAAACAGCTCCTGACCAGTTAGCCTGACAATCACAGCACCTCTGTCCTCATCCTTTGTTGAGCTTCTTGAACCTTGCCCGGGTCCTTCCCCTGGCCCCCATCCGTTGCCATTGTACGGATCCAACACGGAGGAGCAATTGTAGAGCAGGACCTTTATTGCTGCAATAATTCCTTGGGAGGTGGGTGGAGTTACCAGGAAATAATGCCACAAAGTTTTTCCTCACCAACTCAGTCCATCCCCGTCTCCATCACTCAATCCTCAGCCGCCCCCATCTGGCTCTCATCCCTCTGAAGCCGAGATCCACACTCACAGAACAATAGCAATAGTTTCACTCTGTGTTTATAACCTGTTTGTCCCGAGCTGTTTTGGAGAGCAGTGCATGTGACCCGATGCCTTTCCACATGGATGGAAGAGGATCCATTTGGATGTGGTGAGGGAAAGATGAATGTATATTCCATCCTTACTAAAGGGGCACTGTCGGGGTAAAGACCTAATTTATCCTTGTTAGGAGTAACTTGTTTGCTTTGAAAGGAGAGAATGGGAAGTTTCTTGTCCTCCTCCCTGGGCCGTTGTCTGGGCAGCCCTCGGTGACAGCCCACGTCCTGTTCTGCACATCAGCACAACACAGCCTCGGGCTTTGGGGTTGCTTTTCTGTTTCCCTGGGAATCAAACTCTGCTGCAGAGCTCAGATTTTTTATGAAAAGCAGCTTTTTATATTACTGCACCCTTAGGCCGGACTTTCTACCTGACGCTGTCCCTTTAAAGTCTTTTAAAAAAACAGAGAGAGGAGCCCGTGCATTCCCTCCGAGTCGTTTTCCTGGGTTTGCTCAGATCACTCAGTCAGATGAGGCGAAATCCTAATACCAAAAACCGTTTACAGCGTCGGGGGCACGAGCCCAGAGCAGGAATCAGCCAAAGGGTCACCACCACCCTCCCAGCAGCCGCCGTGCTTGCTGTAGCAGCCCCTTCTTCAGGTATCGCCACTGTTTGCTGCATTTCCTATTAGTTCTAGAAGCCTTACGGTCCCCTCCCTCTGCCTGTTGATACCCTCAACTGTCAATTTTATATTCCAACAATGTTAGTTATATTTTATTTATAAAAAATTGCTCTAGGGGTACCAGCTGTGCGTGGGGAAGCAGCAGGGGATGCCCGAGGGCGCCGGGGCCGCCCCGCGTGTGCCGTGCCCGTGACTCGCGTGTGTGTGGCAAACCTTGTGTACAACTTCCTTCTCCTCCTTGCTGTTAGTGCATCGTTCCAATGCCTGGTGTGCTTCGTGTACAGTACCATTGTGAGTTACACAGATTAAAGAAACGGGAAGGCTTTTCTCTGTCTGCTTTTTTGGGGCTGGGGGAATACTCTAGGAACAGACAAGTCATCAGATGTGAGCAGGTGCCAGTTTAATGGGGTTACAGCCATGAACAGAATGAGGAAACCCTCTGTGGAGATCAGTCCTGCAGGACCCATTTGTCCTTTAAACCATTTGTCCTTTTCTTTTTTACAGTTTGCAGATTTATGGTCTTCCCAGCAAGGGAAAAGGCTGCTGTGTTTGTTCAGAGCAGCCCTGGGCCCTGAGCAGCCCAGAGCCCCAGCGCTGCCCAGGGCCTGTGCTGTGGGGAAGGGACACGAGTTGCATGCAGGAGCAGAGAGCAAGGCAAAGCCACCCCTGCACAAAGCACACCTGCACAGAGGCCAGTCCAGTGTGCCAGGTCAGTGCTCCCCTACCCGAGGAGGTGAAGCTGCAGGAAGGCTGGGGCTCAGTGGAGGGTGGCACTCAGGGCTCAGAGGAGCTGCAGCCTGAGCAGAGCCACAGCCACTCCTGTCTGAGCAGGCTCAGGGAGTGCAAAGGGCCTCTAAGCCAGATCCAGCAGGGAAAAGGCCATGAGCAGCCCCTGAGGGGAAGAAGTGGCAGCCAGCTGTGTGTTTTGTGGCCCTGGTACACCCTGTCCTGGCCACAGCATTGACTCCTGCCCCCCAAAGCCCAGAGCACCCTGAGGTGCTCAGCACCCTCAAGGCTGTCCCCTGGGTGCTGCTGAGCTCCTCCAGCATCCAGAGGAGCATTGGGGCAGATGGCTCAGGTGCATTACAGCCACACTGGCCTGAGCTGGGACAGGGAGGGGAGAAGCTGTTCACTGGGAGAGGAGCCACTCAAGTCGCTCTCCTTCCCAGTCAGTAACTTACAGAGCAGCTGGAAAGGGCCCCTGGGGAACACCTTGACACGGTGCTGTCTGCGTGGTCCAGAGGCAGAGGCTCCCCCTGGGCTGGCAGGGGCACAGGAAGGGCTCCAGGGCTGGCTGGGGCCTGCCCTCACTGCAGCAGCCCCGTCCTCACCTGGAAGGCCAGCCCATCCCCACGGGTGGCTTGCTGCAAGGGACACACAGCACTCACAGCACTCCCTGCCCAGGCCTGCAGGACCACCAGCACCACCCTGGGGGCCCTGGCAGTGCTGCAGGGCTCAGCTCATCCCCAGGGTGGAAACACAACCCCTCTGGGTGCAGCAGCTCCCTGGCTGTGCCCAGACCCCCGTGCAGCTCATGCTGGTGCCCAGTTCCCCCTACCTTGTTAATCTCCTTGTGTCTCTCCTTGCTGACGATTTCTTCCAGGACTTCCCCGTCCCCCTTAATGAGCCTGCAAGACAAGCACAGGCCCAGGAGCCCTGAGGGCACTGGCCAGTTCCTGCAGCTGCAAAGATGTGACCCCCACCCCGAGGGCACCTGCTGTGCCCCAGCTCCCCCAGACCAGGAGCAGGTGCTGGGCTGATGCACCTCCAGGCAAGGCCAGGGCTGAGCCACCCCTGACACTGCACTTTGTGACTTTGGTTTTGTGTCAAGCTTAAACAGCACAGCAGGCCGTGCCATTGCTCCCGTGGGATTAATGTCACACACTGCAGCAAGGACAGGAGTGCTCCCCTGAGAGCTGAGGGCCAGCTGGCTCTGCCCCAGGCTGAGGGCACTGCCTGCTGTGTGCTCTCAGTCACACTGGCACAGCAAAACAATCCCAATGAAAGCATCCCCTGTCACCCTACAATCCACAGTGCCTCAACCCATGCAAAACCTCTTTGTTTTTTCATAGAATTCAGGTGTGGTCCTGGCTGCCCCAGGAATCTGCAAAGCTATTCAGGAACAGGAGCCAGTTTGGGCCTGAAATGCAGCCAGGCTGGGGAATATCTTGCTGAGCAAATTCCAAGCAAGTGTTGGAGGCGGCTCACACCTCCAGACATGAACAGAAATTTAATTGTCTTCATTACGTGCCTTACAGGGAACCGACCTTTGTTCCACACCTCCCTGAGCCCTGCAGGCTGCCTTCTATTTTAAGACTGGACTTGTCATACCCAATTCTCTTCAGCATGACGTTTTCTGCTTGCTGAGAAGATGCAGTTTATTAAAAACTGGGTCATTTCTATTTGGCAGCTAAATGAACTTGGGTTTGATCACTGTCTGTAACCCCACAGGGCACATGCTCCTCACTCCCACCTGGGTGTTACCAGGGCCCAGGGCTTTGGAGCTGAAAGGTGAGTGGATGCAGCAATGGGATACTGGGACACAGCCCAGAGTCCCTTGTGTGCACACAATTCAATGGTTTGGTGTCATTGTGTCACACTCTGGGTAAGTCACACCAGGCCTGATGAGGGGGGACTGTGAGGGGTTGGCTCAGGCCTGTGGTGCTGCAGTGCCATGGACAGGCATCCTCCAGGCCCCCAGCCCCCCAGCATGGATGGGAATGGAGAGCCCAGGCCATACCTGGTTCTCCCGGTCTCGGGATCCAGCACTCTCCTGATCACGCTCTGCCGCGCGTCCCACTCCTCCTTGGTCATCGGCTTCATGGCCTGGATCCGGGACTTCTGCTCATCTGTCAGAACTGGGGTCAGCAGGGCTCAGTCAGAGCTGTGCTCCAGGACAGGGCACAGCACCGGGGCTGCAGCCCATGGACAACGTTCCACACCCCCTTCCCAGCGGTGCTCAGGGTGTGGTGACAAACCTCACAAAAAAGGGACACTTCACATCCCTTTGGACCAGCTTTGCCAGGATTTGCTGCTGACTGTGTCCTTCCATTTGGCCTCTTTGTTCCCCACTCCCATCTATAAACCACATCCTGACACTTTACAAACCAGTCTCTGAGTGTGGCTCAAAGGGGCACCATAGACAGGAGGGAAGGGAGCCTGGGGCTCCTCCCTGTACCCAGCCCTGCTTCCCTCAGACACCCCAGATGGAAAGGGACCAGCACAGGCTCCAGCAGGAGGGAAAGAGCTTCATTACCTGGCCCAGAGTCCACCACTGACTCCTTCTGCCACTGCTCCAGCGAGGGGCCCGGCACCTCTTCTCCCTTGGCTTTCTCCTCCTTAGCTCTCTCCTTTGCCTTCTTCTTTGATTTCTTCTTTATTTTTTTCTTCTTCTTCTTCCTCTTCTTTTTGTCTTTCTGTTTCACTCGCTTTTTTTTGCTGTCTTGACTCTTCTTCACTTTGGAGTCGCTGTCACTGGAGTCATCAGAAGAGGAGCTGGAGGAAGAGGAAGATGAGGAAGAGCTGGTGGATGAAGACGTCCCAGAGGAAGAGGTACTGGCCTTCCTCTTCTTTTTGTCCTTTCCTTCCTTCTTCTTTTCTGCAATTCACAAGAAGAGGGTGAGTGGGGCAGCCCTGGCCCTGCAGCAGCAGAGATGTTGGTTTTTATCCCTCTCCCAGCCTGGTTTCTTTCCTGCCTGGAATTGCCCTCTGTGCCCACGTTCAACCCAGGATGCTCTGTGGTACCAGGGCTGCTCATGGAGGGGCTGAGAGCTCTGAACTTGTCAGCATGAGATCAAAGTGGGCACAAAGTGCAGGACAAGGTGACAGACACCAACTAAAACCAGGGACCCTCTTCTCCCCCCTGGGCCCTCTCTGTGCACCTGCCCCAGGGAAATGTGGAGTAAGCACAGGCTCGGGGCCTTCCCCACCTTCCCTGGCTGCTGCCAAGCTGGAGGTGTGTCCATGAGAGCCAGAGATCCTCTTCCTCGGTGGAGAGCTGCTGCCCTGCTGCGAGTCCTTGCTGCTCTTCCTCCTTTTCTTCTCCTTCCTCTCCTGCCTGCTCCGGGAGTCGCTTTTGCTCCTGCTCCGCGAGCGCTTCCGCGAGCGGCTGTGGGCCATGGCAGCTCCTGGGGAAAGGGGGAAAGGGAGGGGTCACATCAGAGCCACGGGGGGACCAACCCTGCCCAGCAGCCCAAAATCCCTCACTGCAGTCTGAGACAGCAGCCCTGGCAAACCTGCTCCAGGTAAACTCCCTCCCTGCTCACACCCTGCCCATCTCCCATCATGGCCTTGGGGGATTCCTCCAACCCCCACCACGGAGCCTGGGCAGGGAGCTGGCACAGGGACAGCCCTCAGCTGCCTCAGACAAGTGTCTCCAGGCAGGTTTTCCACCAGGAAAACCTTCCAGCAGCTTTTCCCTGCGCTCCTGCTGTTTGTCCCTGGAGGATTGGGCTGACCGCTCTGGGGCCGGCACAGAGCAGGGCTGTGCCCGTGGTCACCCCATGGTCACCCCATGGTCACCCCATGGTCACCCCATGGTCACTCCATGGCACCAGGAGCCAGCAGGAGAAGCTGCACCAGAGATGGACACAGGCAAGGGCTGATGGACACTGCAGCCACAGTCAGCAGAACAAAACGTCCTCCCTGAGTCAACCCCCTGTTACTTAAAATGCTGTGAGCGGGCACAAGCCAAGGGGAAGAATGAGTTTTTAATATTCCAATTTTCTCTTAGAAAACAGATGATGCATTGAGCTGCTATCCCTGTCCATCAGCCCCAGGGACGCTGGCGGCCCCAGGCCAGTGTGATCCATGCTCTCATTAATTTAAAAAACAAACTGGCACCGTGGGCAGAGCAGGAGCTGGGAACGCTTTCTCACAGCCACCTTCCAACCACCACATTTAATGAATTGTTTGTTTACCACCTCGACATTCCCAGGCAGCAATTTGGATTTGCTCCCGAGCAAATCAGACCTTCGATTGATTTCCATAGGGAAATTTCAATCAGGAAAAGACTCCAGAACCAATGAGAACCATTACAGGCATGCAGGGAAGGGTGAGAGGATGAGAGTCCTTCATGCACACACACCCAGCAGCTGCCCCTTGCACGGGGCAGCGTTTGGGACTCGGATCTTTCTCTTCTGGCTGTGGCAGCAGGAAAAACCCACTGTTATACATCCACAGCAGCAGGAAAAACCCACTGTTATACATCCACAGCAGCAGGATCATGGGTCTGGAGCTGGGCTCAGACAGCAGCATCCCAGTGACAAACCCCAAATCCAGCAGCATCCCAGGCCGGCTCTGCCCCAAGCCGGGCTCTCACCTCCACCCTGACACCGGGCAGGGCCCACAGCGACTCCTCCGGCCCACCCAGCCCTGCCCAGGCCCGGCCCCGGCGCTGCTGTGCCCCGGGCGGCTGGAGGGGCTGTGCCTGCCCTCAGCCCCGGCACGGGGAGCCTGCGAAACGCGAGGTGCGCTGGCCCTTTAAGAGCTCAGTATGAGGTGTACTGGCCCTTTAAGAGTTCAGTATGAGGTGTACTGGCCCTTTAAGAACCCGTGCAAGGTGCGCTGGCCCTTTAAGAGCTCAGCGGGAGCGTTCTGCGCGCGCGGCTCCAGGCGCGGCCCCTTTAAGTGCGCAGCTCTTTATCAGCCCCCCCGGCCCCGGGGCCGCCGCAGCGCTCGGGCCCGTGCCCCCCCCCGGCCCGCCCTTCTCCGGTGTCCTCAGCCGGCCCGGCCCGGCCCGGCCCGGCCCGGCCCCGCCGCAGGTAAGAGGAGCAGGAGGGAGCGGGAGGAGCGGGGACTCACCGGGCCGGGTCCCGCCGCCCCGAGCGGGGCTCCCGCCGCCGGGGCCGCGCTGGCCGCCTCCCGCCTCCGTCCGCCGCGCGCGGGGCCGGGCAGCAGCCGGGCCGCGCTCTTTGGTTCCGGGGGCCGCCTCGCCCGGGCCGCAGCTCAGTTTTTGGGGAGGATTCGAGCAGATCGGGAGCGCTCACGTTCGCCAGTGAACGAGGTAAAGGCTTCGAGACTGCGTTTCTTGGTAGCGACTCCTCGCTCAGATACAACCGCCGGTTTCCTTCCCCCAGTGTAATTTTAATGAGCTTTGCTAATGAGCAGCTCATCAGCGCCCTGTGCTAAAATCCAGCGGGGCCGCTGGGAGAGCTCAGTGAACGAAAACCTTTTGTGCGAGCTGCTCACAGTTCAGCCCTCCACAATCACCGACGTGACTGCCCTCGTGCTCTGATTACTGCACTGAACACATCCATGGAAAAGCCCCTCATACATTCAGCAGCATCTATCCAGTATCGAGTTAATTTTCCAAGGGGAAATCAGACAATATTTGGCTTTTTTAGTTTGTTTAGTAGATGGAAGTGTCACAAGCTTTCAGCCAGCTGGAAGGAAGGAGGGGAAAGCACTCAACCCTTCCAATCCATCAGTTCCTGGGGGATCTTGGTGCCAAATTCAGCAGCCCCAGGCCTCGTCTGCTGCTGCACCCAGGTTGGCAGAGTTATTTTATATTTTCACTGGCTCATGGAACTAAAGCAGAGGGAATTAAATGTACATCTCGTCCTCCTCTGGGAAGTTCTGCTGTGCTGCAGGTGGCTCCCAGAGCTCTGGCTCTGCTTAATAAGGTTCACAAAACCTTTGAAAGGGAAGTTTGTGCTCCCAAGGAGCCTTGGGAGATCTCTCAGCCCCCCTGGGGGATCAGTGTTGCTCCTGGGGGATTGTTCTGAGCCTGGGTTAGACATCCAGTGATGGCAATTCCCAGTAGCTCGCTATGAACCACCTGGATCTCATTCCTGAACAGATCCTTCCTGCCCACTCAAAGAGAGACAGGAGGCCCTGGCAGAGGACAGGAGCCCTAAGAACAGCACAGAATTGGTTTATTGGCCCATTCTGCCCCATTTCCAGAGGGACCCGGGGTGCTGCTCTTGGCAGAGAGGCCAAGGAGCTTTGGCTGCTTTCCTGGAGCACTTGGAAATATTGACAGAGCTCCTGCAGGGAATCAGAGCTGGGGTTTCTGTGCTTGCAGAGTCCTCCAGCCCCAGCCTGAGCCCTCAGGAGCCGAGTTCCAGTGGGAATCCTGGCAGGGCTGGCTTTGCATCCCTTCCCGAGGTCAGAGCTGCTCCTTGTGCAGCCTGGGAGGTCAGGGAGGAGCTTTGCGCATCTCGGTGCGGGGAATCTCCCCTGCTAGCCCAGGGCACAGACATTGACAGTCTGGGGCTGCTCCTCCCCCTGCGGGGAATCCGTGAAGCCGTCCCCGAAGCCCTCGGCCTCCACCAGCTCGGGTTTCCTGCGGCACATGGGGCAGAGCCGGTTGCGCAAGGCCGATGATCTCATCCACACGATGAGGTTCCAGCGCTCCCCCGAGGCGATGGGCAGCGCCCCGTGGATCTGCCCCCCTCGGTGCAGCAGCCCCCGGCGCCGCACGTGCTCCACCTCGATGTACTGGGGCACCGGGCTGGGATCCTGCAACGAAGGCAGGGCGTTGGTATCACACCAGCAAAGCCCTCGAGTGGTTGAAATTTGTCACCTCTTACCCACAGCACCCAGGGAGCACCATGGAGAGGGCAGACCCTCATTCCCAGTGCCAAGTTCAGAGGGAATTTAGAGAGATTCAAGCAAAAACCCCACGTTTCTCTGCTGTGTGAGAGCTTCCACCCTTCTCTTGTCCTAAAAATAGGTGCTAGAGATGTAGCTTGAAGTCACATCTGAAATAAATCTCTCCCTCAGCACCGCCCTGCTCACAGTTTCAGATGTGGAGAGAGGGGATGGTTTGTTTCACTCCAGTTTCTACTGCAAAGCTGCATCTGTCCTCTCTTTGAAATACTGAATATTGAGATTGGATATGGGAATATTGCAGCAAAAGAGGCTCCTGTATAACCAAGCCATGCAAGAAATGGGAAAGGGACAGAGCAGGTTTGACTGTCAGAAGTGAAGAATTGTTTTGTAGGCCACGGTGGATGCCTGGAGGCTGAGGGGTGAGGAGGGAGAGGTGGGTGGGATGTGCTCAGTACCTGGCTGAACTCCCCAAAGTACAAATTTCCTTCTGTGAATTCTTTTCCCAGGGAAACGTTCAAGGTGACTTCGGCGTTGTCGTAGTGGGAGCTGAGGTCCAGGTCCTCGTGCACGGAGTACTTGACCACGAAGGCTTTGTGGCTGTCCAGGCAGGCCCCGCCCAGCTCCGGGTACAGCAGCGCCGTGATGGGCCGGAGCCGCTCCCGCAGCGGCGTCAGGAAAGGCTCGTCCATGCCCAGCTCGTTCAGCAGAACCTGCGCCGGGACAGCGGGGGGAGCAGCTCAGCAGCCTCCTCAGAGCTCTGCCCTCCTCCTGGCTCAGCTCCAGGACTCTGGAGCAAAGGGAAAAGGAAGGAGGATCAAGGTGGAGAGGGATGGGGGGAAAACACAGAGTAATAAGATTAAAAGGTGAGTGTTCTTTAAAAACTCTGCTTGATTGAAATTTGGAGGAAAAGAAGCACAGGGGATGAGTCCTACCCCGTAGTTGTTCATGGTGTTGGGCCTGCCCTTAGGCATGTCTGACTGCTCAAAGTTCTCCAGCTCATCCAGCAAGGCCTGGCAGAAGTGCTCTGTGAACACTGGGAGCCGATAGATCCTCTTGTCTGTCAGGACAGGGACAGAGTTTGCTGGGGAGGTTCCCAGTGCTCCTGTGCAGCTGCACTGAGCTGCTGGCAGGGAGAGCACAGCACCCACAGGCTCCCCTTGTGCTGGCACCATTCCCTGCATCAGCCCTGGGGTGTATTTGTTGATTTTCATGCTGGCCCCTCATTTCCAGAGCAGAAGGTTCTGTCTGGAACTGGTGCCCTGGATAAATCCAGGAGCTCTGCACACAGACTTTGCTGTCCTTTGCCTTGAGGAAAGGAGGCAGCTCTGCCTCTTCCCCTCTGCCTCTTGGCAGCTTTTCTGCTAGGCAGGGAGCTTCACTGCTGCCTCCAGGAAAGCTGGAAACCTTTTTCAGTCTTTTTCAAAGACTGAAATCTAGACTGAAGCTGTTTCAGCCCAGACTAACCCACAGGAGCTGTCTGCAATGGGAAAGCACTTGGAGAGGAAAGCCAAGCTCCCAGTGCACCCTCAGCAGGCTCCTGGTGAGGTGTGGAACAACCAAAACCCCAGCCCTGCTGCAGCTGGGGCCTCTGGTGAGACATCAGCAGGATGGGAAAGCAGAAAACAGCCTCTGATCCAGAGCTGCTGCCTCTCCAGAGCCCCTCCTCAGCAGGAGGAACATCCTGTGTGCCTCAGCTGTGTCACAGCAGAGCTGCTCCAGACAGGGCCTGGGAACAGCTCTCACCAGGGAGCTCTGTGTCATCAGGTGTTGTTTTTTTACCTGAGAAGGACTCGAGGTAGCTCAGGAGGCCCTGGAGATCAGCACCTGGAGATGTGCAGAACCTCTCAATTTCCAGAAACTCTGGGGCCAGGAAGGAGTCCTGGTGTCAAGGGAAGGATGGGAAAATCACACAGAAACACAAAATCAGCCTGCAGAGCCCAAGAGGGAAATGGGCTCCCAGGGAGATACCCAGTCCCTGGGGAGCAAGGCTGAGTCACACTTGGTAATTCCACAGCAGGAAATGCAGAATGGCACTGGTGCTTTACCTGCTGGGGCAGGGCAGTTGCTGCTTGCTTTAGTTCATGAGTTTTTTAGGAGTAACTGGCCAGATTTATCACAGACATGACAGGAAAGAGCCTTTCCTGGCTGGAACCAGGAATCTTGCCTGGAGAGCATGCTGTGCTGTTGTGTTTTTAAAGTTTTAAATCCAGTTTTCATATGCTACACCTGTGTTTTAATTCAGTGCAGCTTTAGCAGTGTGCAGTCCCGAGGGAGGGTGAAACAAACTGCAAAAATAAAAATCTCAGGTGATTTTTTTCTGGGTGCAAAAGGGATTCCAAACCTTCTGTGTACCTGCAGAGTGTACACCTCTGGGTGTTTTGGTTTGTAGCACTTGGAGATGATGGCTCTGCGTTCCACTGACTGCTGGGGTAACTGTTTCCTCCTCTGCACTTCTGCCTCAATCTGCAAGTGAACAACAGAGCACACTGTCAGACATCAGCAAGGGCTGAGTGGGACAGCTCCAGGAATCTGCTCCTTGCTTTAAACCAGTTATTGTTGTTTGGGGGCACCTCTGGGACACAGAGTGTTTGGCTTAAAAAGTGACTGAGGACTTTTCTGTGGAAGTGTCAAGTGGAGCTGTGAGCTCTCAGCCCTTTCAGGCATTCTGACACCTCCAGAATCTGGTTTTTGTTCTGACAATGGAAGCATTGTCCAAAATAAAGACATTTGCTGGGAGTGAGACAAGTGCTGTCATGAAGGGATTACTGTGGTGCAGACAGGCTAAGCTGCCCTTTCAGAGCAAACAGCTGATCCAGGCAGCTCCTCCCGTTTATCTCCCCCTCACCAGATTCATTTGTAGCAGTCCTCAGTGAGGAGAGAGTGAGCAGCCATTCCCCAAGCAGCTCCTGTGCTCATTCCCTTTCCCTCAGCGTCAGGCCCTGAAGGTCTTGGGAACCAAGCAGACAAATCCAACAGATTTCTCAGCTTCCTTCCTCTTCCCCTCCCTCCCAGCCCCAAGGTCACAGGGCAGGGATCTGTAACCCAGCACTGCCTAAAAAATCAGAACTGAGTTCTAAGTGGGAAATTTGGACTGGAATTGCTGCTGGACAGGGAGAGCTGTGCCCTTCCCCAGCCAGGGACAGCCACTGTCATCTGCTTCCTGCCAGCACTGAGTGACTCCTATTTGTTTGTGTAATTTCTAAGTCTCCTCTATGATGTTTATATTGATACAGCAAACCTTGTATGCAGGTCTGAGCAGATCTGCAGGTGATTATAAAGTGCTTAGGACCGAGGTGATTATAAATTGCAGCCAAAGTTAGGATCTTGTTTTATAAATTCTGTATTACATTGTTCATTGTGCTCCATCGATTCTGCCTGGGGAAATCCTGTGCTGTTCTACTCATAAATTCTCTGTTGTATGAATCATAATTATCCAGTTAATAAAGCTTTAATTACAGTATAATTTACAGCCACCGTCATTCTGCCAAGAATTCCTAAAAGAACCTGTCTGTCCCCTTAGAGTCAGGTGACATTGGAGCTGGTGAGTGACTGATCCCTGTCCCAGGCCTGGAAAGAAGCAGAAATTCTGTGATAAAAGGTGAATTTCTGCAGGATCCCATCTTGGAGCTGCCTTTAAAAATGATTGGCAGAGGAAGGGACAAGGAAAGACAAACGAGGGCACTGGGAGCCAGCGGAGTAAACCCACGGAGGGAGCGGCTGGGCTGTGTTGACTGACAGGATTTAATCGCAGGGTGGCGGCTGAATAAACTCCTCGCTGATGGCGCCCGCGGGGAATTCTTCCCTGGGGACTCCGCCCGGCCCCGGGCTGGATCGGGACGCGGTGCAGGAGCAGAGGGGCTCCAGCAAGGCCCGAACTCCCGCGGGGACCGACCCCCGGTGTGGCACTGCCGGGGCTGAGGGGGTCCCTGAGGGGGCCGGGGCCGAGGGGGGGCCGGGGCTGAGGGGCTCCTTGAGGGGGCCGGGGCCGAGGGGGTCCCTGAGGGGGTCCCTGAGGGGGCCGGGGCTGAGGGGGTCCCTGAGGGGGCCAGGGCTCCCCATCCCCTCCCCGGCACCGGGAGCTGCTGGAGAACGCCCGGAGGGGCAGCGGGATGGGCAGAGGGACGGGGCAGCTCTGCTGGCAGGAAAGGCTGGCAGGGCTGGGGTGTTCACCTGGGCAGGAGGAGCTTTGGGCTGAGCTC